TCTATAATTTTTATCATAGCTTCATGGTAATTTTTACCTTACAAAAAAACTGATATTGCTCAGCTATACTTTTTACGCTGAAGTATGATAGTTTTACCTATGCAAGTATCTATATAATATTACTGACATCTGACTTTATTTTTTTCTTAAATCAGGAGAATCACCGAAAAAGTTTATCGTAAAGCTTCGATTAATATTATAGTTACAATACATATAGTCCCAACTTAACCACTAATTTTACGGTAATATAAATCATGGTCCTTTTTTCCCCGTTTTCGTGAATCACATATTCATATTTTTAACGTTAGCATTTATTTACTTTTTTTTTTTAACGAGTCCTCCAATAACCCTTGATAAACAAACATACTGTCACCAACTATTCGATGGATTATTGTTCATTTGCTTATATTTCTGCTTGTATTTGTATTTTTGTTTTTACTCCCCAACGTGATAAAAAAGTCACGCATAGGCACTCGTGCACCCAACCAAGTAACAACATAAGCTCCCGCTCCGGCTCTCCAGGCATTAGTATACTTGCAGATAATCCAGAGTCGTAGGTAGGCAAGCCCCTGAAGTAAACGTGAAATTACGACGTTGCGTGGCCATAGCGACAGTCCACGGCGCAGTGGCCAACCGTAAAAACTACATCACGGAAGTACGTGGGCAAATGCGTATGTGTGCTTGTGCGCGAGTATATAAAGAAGAAAGTGAAAAAAAAAATCACGAAGGAACGAAGTGTAGTCGTAAAACGCGAGCTTAATCAAGGGTGTCGTCGAGAGCTTTTGCGTCGCCCGTAACACACGCACATACTACTTGCTTGAGCCGCTCTCTTACTCTCTTTTTTTTCCTTTCAAAGGTCGTTTACGCTGCTCATCGCGTTTATGGGTGTATAACGTGGCTACGTACTGCGGAAAAAACTGCGGCTAGTTGGCCTTTTTTGCTCCTACTTATACGAGTACCGTCGAAAATTTAGAAGGATAAACAAAAAACCGTTGTACTCTACTATGCTGTGCACTACTTTTTTTTTTTAATAATCCGTGCTTACAAGCATTTTCAGCCCATAATCGCACAAGTTAATGCATAATGTGATGTATAGTATGCTATGCAATATAATATAAAGCTTCGACTTGCAGAACCAACGTGAGTCCAACTATTAGTCACGACCAACTTTAAGTTACCAATGATAATACAATAAAATCTCATGTTGTCAAGGATGATGATAAAGCATCTTTTTTACCTACCCTTGTTGAAGCAGAAGGTAGCCACGAATTTTGAACTGCATCAAGGGCTTGCCAACCAGAAGACGAAGACGAGGTGTTCTGCCAGGGTATCCAGTCGAGCCAATAAATTATTACAAGGTATGTGCGTATGTAATACACAAATTGTTTTTTGATATCTACACAAAATTGGGTTCTCGATTGTTAAACGGTGGTGCAATCACTTTCAAGTCGTGAGTGATGTCATCCAAGTCTTTGTACCTTGTTTTTGGAATTAATAAAAGAGGGAGGCAATACTGCATTCATACTTACAAAATTTTATCTTGGACAAAAGATTAGGAGAGTTTGTCCATCTTGTCGTCAACAGTGGAGGACAGATTATTCAGTCTAGTAGCTGAATACGGTGAATATGCCAAAAATGATGACAGCGTCAGTTACTTGCAAAATGTTGTTCATGAAATCCACTCTTGACGATATTTTATTAATTTTGTAACATTCGTGTATAAAATTTCATTAAATTTTTTAAATTGATAAAATTTTTTTTTGATTTTTGGTATTGTACTTATTTATTTATTTTTTTTTATGGAGCTTTTGTATTTTGCTCCCTTTGTGTATTGGAATAATCAGATTGTAACCTTTTGCTTGGTACTTTTGTTATATAACCAATACAACCATCTTGACTGCCGTGACTCGTTCATAGAAATGTGAACATGAATCATACAGATGTTTTAATGACAGTATCACGTTAAAGCAACTCCTTTAAAATCACTCCCAAAATGGATAAAGTTTTATTTAAGTCAGTTATACGGAAATTGTGAGTTAATGATGTCGAAAAAAAAAAAAGATATGGCTGACTAAAAAGCATCTATCTTAAAGTAGAATTTCACTTAGTTGCTATCAAAGAGCTGAATCCGAAGAGCAGAATCTGTTTAAAATCATGTTCTTACGACCCAACAACTGACGTGAGACTTATCATCAAAACTAAAAGGCATTCCTCAGCTTACCAGGAAAATTTTTATAAATTAAAACTGTTTCTCAAAGAGGCTGAGAAACTTCGGTACCTTCGCATATTTCTTTTAGCCTTGTTCCATCCGTCTTTGAATATCAAAGCCAATTGAAAACCAGCTTGCCCATGCATATGTATTATTCAGTCCAAAAAAAGTCACATCAAACGGCAAAAAAATAGAAATCCGGAAAAAGGGTCTGAAAATAAGCATACGTCTTGAAGATATTCCGAGAGAGTGAAAGAGAACGAGGAAAGAGGAGGTGACGAAAGCCACAAACAACGATTCATGCTAAAGCTCTCTCGTGTTTTTTTTTTTTTTTTTTTTTTTTTTCTTATAGAGTCTAATATATGCGTATGAGAGGAGATGCATAATAGCCTCAGACACGAAAAGGACGTTCCCCCGAGGAAAGTGAGAAAGAGGCGAGCTGCTAATGCTGCGAACCCGTAGTGCGTGCTCTAGTCGACGAATATGTATAATCTGGCTTATATTTTTTTGAGCTTAAAGCTATTGGAACTGAAATACGCATGATNTTTTTTTTTTTTTTTTTTTTTATTTGTTATAGAGTCTAATAGATGCGTATGAGAGGAGATGAAAAGAACGCCAGAGCACGAAAAGGACGTTCCCCCGAGGAAAGTGAGAAAGAGGCGAGCTGCTAATGCTGCGAACCCGTAGTGCGTGCTCTAGTCGACGAATATGTATAATCTGGCTTATATTTTTTTGAGCTTAAAGCTATTGGAACTGAAATACGCATGATACTCACATTCAAAGACCAAAGGAGGAAACTGTTACACAAAAAATTATATTAATAAAGTACAAACTATAACTTGAAGTTTAGTTGAGAGACTATTTACACCAATGAATTTTGAATTCAATTATTTATTTGGCTGCTGTGTATAAATTATTGACCTGATGTATATATTTATTTTATATTTTCTAATGTTTTACCTCATGGTTTTATTTCTGATTTTTAAATCATCTTACAAACTGTGTTATAAAATGGTGATACACACGTGGCGAAGGAAACAGTTCATTCAGGTATTAAAATTTTTTTTTTCATGGTGAGAGTCAGGAAGTAAAAACCATAATAAATTTTTGAAATTTAAAAGTGTAGTTGAGTTTTTATTCCTGAATGCTTGTATAATCCTACTGATTTCTCAAAGTTTTAGATAACATTTTTTATAAAAGATCTTAATTTATGCATCTTTTCCAAAAATTTTAAGGCCTAGATTGCCCCTCTGGTTTGCTTTACTTCTGACAAATTTATCGTAATTTTACACTTAATTATTGGTGTAAAAAGCTACGAATGTCGGTATCCTTATAAAACGTAAACTCAGAACTACAATTTATAATCTATTTTTTTTTCACATAAAAAATCACGGATGTACCATGCTAATAGATAGTGTTCTAGATATCAGACAGTAGAAAAGAAAAGTTCCAAGCTTCTTTCTTTCGACGCGAGCTAAAATTTTGCGTTATCACTTTTCAACTCACCATCGGAGAGTCTTAAAGTTTTATAGCTCACAGCCTCGAAGTAAGAAACCTACAGAAACAACTGCTTTAAAATTCAAATTGTATCAAAATTCCTCCTTAAACTCCGCAAGTCACATTGACGCAAGGATAAAACCGAAACAGCGGAGAGAGAAAAAAAAGAAAGGCCTTCGGGAAGAGCTTATCAAGCTCGCGTGACTTTCCAGTGGCAATTTCTCCGATCCATAAACGTCTCGCGTTCTTCTTTTCCCAAACTCCGCGTCTGCACATGGTGTACGGCGCGTATAGACACAACATTTGGCCGAAGTAACTTACTGCTCCTCGCCTAAACAATCGCCCCTCCGCACTCGTAATTTACGCATAAGCTAAAGTGGCGTTCCTCCATACATCGTCCCCGAAGCAAGCGAAATTTTCCATACATGCGCATCCCTTTACACGCTGGAAACTTCTTCGTCTCAATTAAGATTCCCGTCCGGAGACTTTGCTCGCGTGCGTGCTTGTGCTTTGTACATTGATACGAAAGCCATAAGGTTGGTTGTTACGATGCCCAAAGCTCGTAAACAAGGACAAACTGATTTTGTCTCTATTGGAAGGAGGAGGAGGAGGAGGCGTCGAGGTGCAGTTGAGAAAATAAGTCGATGGGAGCTAAGAGACAACGAGTATGACTGCACAGTTTATAAAAACAGTCTCGTCTTCGTTTTTGATTTTTTGTTAATTATAGGTCCAGTTGTTTGCTTTATCTCCTATACAATTGAGATATATATTTTTAAATACCTCAAAATACTTTTTAAAACGTATTGTTTGCCACACTTTCAGTTAAAAGCCTGAAGTCCTTCTCAAGCCTGTATGAACACGTAGCCTGTAGCAGCGTCTATGCTCATTAATTATTAATTAATTTCTCCTCTCACAGGCATCTCCGAGGTGTTAAAAGGATATAATATAAAAAAAAAAAAATAATAATAATAAACCATTTTTTCATAAGCATATACAAGTATAAACAAGTATCAAAAACATAAAAATAAATATTTTGTCACTTAAAAATCCCAAGTTACAAAAATTTAACAAGGCCCTTATTAAAAAAAAGGTAAAAAAGTTTTGTCATCAATAAAAAAAACATTTATTCAACAATCATGAAAGTGTTGTAAGTACATTTAGCAAGTATAATACTACACACGTGTATATACATTTTAGTTTTCTTTTTTTAATTAACAGGCGTATTCCTCGGCAAAGAAATAAAAATAAAAAACAAGTAAAAAAAAGTAGGAACCTTTTTTACGTATAGGATAAATTATTTTTTCGCAAAGGCAGGCTTGAACGGTACAAACTGCAGCACGGGCTTGTAGCCATTTTCGTCGGCGGTGTAGGAGACACCGTGATAATTTCCCTTTGCGTCGAAGAAACCGTACGAGCCTTGAACTTTGTAAATGATGTGCTCCTCATTGGTTTTAGGGTCACGGACAAGTACGGCTTCGGCCACTTCGTCCCGGTTCTGGCCGTCGGACAGCTCGTACTTGAAGTTGTAATTACTGAAGCCATCGTTGTTGTGCAGCTCTTCCTTAACAACGGTAATTGGTTGTTCTGCGTCGAAGGCGGGGGCAGGGTCGGCGAATTCGACGGGACTCTTGGCCGGGGCGAGAGTGACATGCTCTACGTGCTGTGTTGGCTTTGGAGTTGGAGGTGCGTGGGTGGAGAAAGGGAAGAGTGTTTCGGGATGTAATCTGCGAATGTTCGCGGAAGCATCAGAGACAACGATAGGCTTGAAAGAATTTGCTTTCAAGAAGGTGGAGGAGAGTCGGGATCGGATGGAGGAGGCCAACCGTGAGTCGAAGGAACCGGCAGATACGACGGCCACGAGGGCGGCGAGAGCTATGATCTGGAAATGAGACAAGTATTTTATGTCGATTGACGCAATTATGAGATTTTTGGTTACTCCAGTGCAACGTAGGAATCATTTGAGCCATATATTTCAGTTTTAATGAAAATTTAGAATGCAGTTCTCTTAGTTGTGTAATAAAATATGTATTCGATCTCTCTTACTACTATAAATCGTAATCATAAAAATAAAACAGCTCGTGGCAAAAAAAAGATTCAACGTTCTTGGAAATTCGAATTAGGGTACGCTTGAACTTATAAATGTTTTTTTCTGTAAAAATGCCGTGATACATCTTGATAAAGTTGAAGAATGGAAAACAGAAATAAAGTATAAAAAATTTCATCAACGACAGCTTTGAGCTTACAAAAACTGTAATTATGTATTATTGGATGCCTGTAAATTTTTTACAAACAAACTCATTTTGAAAGAATACATCAACAAATAAATTGATATGCTTTTGAATTTTCTGTTATTAAAACTCTGATTTCACTGATTAAAACAAAAAATAGTTATTTGATGGAAAGACTATTGGTAAAAATATAATTGCTCTTACCGTTTTCATGGTGATTATATGAGACTAGGAAGTTCTAGATCGAAAGACGAGCTGAGAACTGAATGGGTCTGATGTAAATGTCTCGGGCTTTTTATACCTGCTTCTCCTACTGCCGAAAATTTTTTCTCGCCTATCAAATGTGTGGCCTTTGCCGGTCATCCTTTGTTTGTCGCAACTTTCCCGACTCTTCCATTTCATGGTAAAAAAATTATCGTCCTCTTCAAATCGGGGGGGGGGGGGGTGAATCCTCGCATCATAATCTCTCCTATTAACGTATATTTGTAAATCTCGTACGTATTCATGAGTTTTCGCCAGCGGCGGAAACTGTTTCCATGTCTCACGTTACGAAAGAATCATCTCATTATCATCTATAGTAACCTTGATTGGATATTACCGCACATTGTATCTTCTGATATCCAAAACATTCACGTAGTTTTCCACCTTTATAATAATTTGATATTAAAATTAAAATAGTCTTTAGTATTCACCTTATGAAAATTTTAAAAATCTTATTAAAGTGAGTATTCACTATTTGTTCTTGATAAAAAATCTATTAGTAAATTGAACCATAAGTAATACGCATTATAACTTTTATACCTTTTCCTGAAAAGTAGTATTGTCAAAATTTTTAATTCATGTACAGTGTATAAACAATACAAATGCAACTACAGTTAACCCATGGCATTTGGAGAACCTCTTATGTAACTCCTCGAATATTTTTTAGTATGTAAAACATAAATAAATGTATTGGAAATTGACGAAGGGCCCCTTCAGGTGTGGTAGGCCTTGTGATAAAGTAACCCCCCTCCCTAATCTGACTGCAGTTGCAAATGAGATTTGTATTAAAAAAACAAATTTTGGTAATAACGAAAATTAATTTTTTTTCTTTTTTTTTGCCTGCAAATATCCACATAATCTTCAAATATACAAATCCATAAACCGTTTTTTATCTGTCCCATTAGGTAATGTAATAATTGTATTGTTACTCAGAAATACATCTATAAAGGTAATTTATACTCTTAGTAGTACACTTGCATTTAAAATCAACTGCACAAAAATCAAATACAGATTGAACTGGTGCTCGATTAAGACGTAATGTTTTAGCATATCTATGGCATATTAAAGTTTTAGGCAGCTATTTTAATGACAATATAAAAACTATACATCATAAAATAAAATATATTACTATCACAATTATTAACTCTCGACATAAATAATACAACACATTACTTTTTAAATCCTTACTTTTGAGCTCGTAATGATGGTATTAAAAATATTATCTACATTACATATTTTTCAGCTTTTTAATTAACTATCAGTTTACTGGAAGCATTAAATCAACCGTGAAAAGACTATATAATGTGTAATAGTCCAAAAATATCTTAAAAACGGCACTTCTGACACGTATTTTTTCAAAGGTGTAGGCCGAAAGATCAGGTTTTTCACGTTGATATACAATTTCTAGAGGAGGATTTCTGTTTTCCCGAACATATCGAACGCCCCAGAGAAGATGGGTATACACCGTTGCGAAAGAGCCCGTGTAAGAGCCTGTGTTGCCGTATGTGGTAGCTCGCAGTACCTTCTATTAACATAGTATTGATGCTCTGCCTTTACTTTAGCATTTTATATTTTAATGAAATCAGAAATTCTCTGAAAATGACAGTATCGGTGTAATAAATATGCCGTTTTTATTTAGACCATAAGTAAATATTGTATTACTTAATAAATGTGATAAATAAGCCGTAGTTACCTGTGCAGAGTTTACCATTAAAGAAAAGGGCGAGGGTGATGGTACGAAAATGCCCATCTTTTCTCAAATGCCGATATCGTGACGGGAATCTGATGCACTTTCATAAAAAACATTTTTTAACATCTGAATACTTACAACCGTCAGGTGTTAAGTATGTTGTATTTTGTACTTAAGTTGTGTGCATTATTAAGTGGTTCATTCCATTCAATTATTTCTGTTTTTAATATTCAATTAGTCATATATTATTACTTTTTAATAAACAACCAAAAAAATTGATGATTCAGAAGCTTGTTTTTACTGGATTAAAGATTATATTTCTACCAAATCAAATGCACGCTTAAAATTGTATCGTAACAAATTTACACCAATTTTGAGCTATTATTTACTAGTTAACTATATTTTCAACAGCAGAACTTTTACCAAAGTAGTGATAAAATTTAAAAGATATATTTTTGAAATGAATCACATGTTTTTTTTTATGTCAAGATATTATTAGATCACATAAAGTTAAACAGTCATATTGAAGAAAATATTTGGATCTATCAAAAATAACTGAGAAAAACTGCGGTGAAACGAAATTTATATTTTTCAGTACTATTTTATTATCGTAATCACAAATTTAAGGTTACTATAATAATGACGATTCAAATATCAATGTAACTTTGCTAACTATTAGATTTTGGGGAATAAATAATGGTTACAGTGTCATAAGATTGTAGTGTGAAAGAATGATTTATGAACACTTTTGGTTTTGTATGGGTTAAATACAGGTCTCATGGAAAATCATGCATTATCTCATATTTGATCCAACTCAGTACTTGTAACAAAAGAATAATAAAAGTAAAGAGTTCACAACTCCTGGCTGCTTTAGCACAACTCTTCTTCACTGAATATCTTCTCAAACTTTGCACCAAATGTTGAGACTTGAAACTTCACTCTCGTATTTTTAAGATACGAAGGAATGATACGATGTAAAACATTATCTGATTCTTTAAAGTAAGTCATAAACGTTTTTGTAATAAAAATTCGTATCGGAATGTTAGAGTTTTTTCTGGTTGGATAAAAAAATTGTCATACCTTTGGTACAAACTGTTAAAAACTCAATACAATGACAAAGAGCTAAAAATGATTTCATAATTTTTGATAATAATTATTCAAGTATTTGTAGCTTTTGTATAACTTGACATTAATTTTTATTAACGTTATACACACTTGATTGTCAAAGAGCTGATACTACTACCTTAAAAGAAAAGTGTAAGACTGGTAGAATTGATGTTAATCGTTACAGATAATAGTAGTTTTATTTTTAGTGAGGCCATCTCTATTTTCTTGACTGGTTGTATAGTTGGATTGTACCCATGTAATACATAAAAGAAAATAGTTCATTTATAATATTTTTAACATTATAATTTTCTATTATATCAATTCTCTTCTTTTTTAATGGTAAAATCATGCCCCATGACAATGAACATGGTAATTATTAAGTCACTTTTTTATTTACCATTATAAATAAATTTATTTACAATTAATTACAATACTATGTGCAAAAAAAAAAATAAAACCAAAGAGTTTACAATCTCGAAATGATTAACTAATCAATTACGAGGTAAGAGAGTACAGTATACCTGTGTCAAGTGGCTCAAGCCTACTGTAACGGTATCCAACTAATGTTGCGTTGAACTGATTTTTTCTGATCCAATACATCAAAAATAGTATTCACCGAAATCGGAAAGTCATGAATTATACGTGGAATATTCCCAGATTTCCATCATCAAAACTCATACTGATGTGAAAATCCAAAAATGGTAATTTTTCTAAACTAAAATCGACGGGAGAGAAATTCAAAAAATCGACAAACAAATGAAGTATAATGAATTCAGCCGCTTACTCATTGAGTGGGAAGAATATTTTCCAACAGTTGAAGAAGGGGGTATAAAAAGTCGGGGAAAATCGTATTTGACACATTCAGTTCTCAGCTCATCTTCCGATCTAGAACTTTACTGCTCAACAACGAGCACAGTCATCATGAAAATGGTAAGAAAAATCACAATGTTTGAAAATAATTTGGCACTTGGGGATAATATTTTTGCATTCATAAGCATACGTTTAAAAAGCAATAAAGTAAATTATCCAGATCAATATTTAATTTTTAACGAAAAATAATCAAGAAAAATTGCCAAAAAAAATCTATTTACCGTTTGAATTATTGAAGTAAAAATTATTTATTTATCAAGCTTTATAAGATGAAAAAACCTCAAATAACTAATGTTAGACAAAAATTTTGAATGGATAAAAAAACTAATTTTTTCATCTTTTATTCATTTTTTAGTAAGTAAATTGTGATATTTAAAAAAGGACAGTTTAAATTTAATTTACTATCACATCTGATTGGCCAACAATTAACTACTGAGTATAACTCGAGCCAATAAAAATAAAATGCAATAAATTTTTAACTTAATAAACGCACTTTTGGGACATATTTCATCAAACATACAATAAATCTAAAAACATTGAGTTCACTGAGATAAAATACTTGTTCCATTTCCAGATCATAGCTCTCGCCGCTCTCGTGGCTGTCGTTTCTGCTGCTCCACAGCGTGGGATAGATACCTTTGATGCTTCGCAACCCTCCTTCTTCCAGAATCCTCTCACATTCTTCAACACTGCCCCCTCCTACGACAAAGAAGTAGAAAAGATTACCATTGTTAGTGAAGAGCCACACAACAACAATGGCCACAGTCCTTACAGATTCTCTTACCAGCTGTCTAATGGTCAGTTCCACAGAGAAGTCGCCGAAGCCGTGCTGTTCCGTGATCCCAAAACCGACAAAGACTTCACCGTTTATAGAGTTAAAGGGTCATTCGGTTATCCTGACGGAAACGGAAATATCATAACCGTCAACTACGTTGCCGATGAAAATGGTTTCAGACCCGAGGGAGAGCACTTACCTAAGAATTATCGCAAAGGAAAATAGTTTTTTACCTAAAATTTTATTTTATTTTCCTTTGTCTCAGCTTATCTGTTTGAATGACTAAAATGAAAGGCATGTTTTTCGTGTCTCGTATTGCTGATCCTATATAGATATATGGTCACGTATTACAAATTTCAATACTAAAGCTGTTAAAAAATAAATACTGTATTTAATGAATTGTTGAATAAATCAGTTTTTTTGTTGAAAACAAAAGGGTTTGTAAATCAATCGGCCCATCCCTTATTTAATCCATCGATGTCAACTGTGTGGTATACGGAATGGAGCTAGCCAGTAATGTGTGATGAGCAAAAAAGCGTATAAACACCACTGTAAGATAAGTTTTGGATACAATAGGAAATTATTTAGTGTGAAAAAATTAACTCCAACCTTATCAATTTTATTAAGCGTGTAGGAAAACAAACTATTTGAAAAACTGATTTTTATTAATTATATTCAACCCCAAATCACTAAGTATACGTGCTTTTGTCTAAATTTTAGTATAACAAAATAAATAAATTTGATGTAGGATTGCACTTATTGAGTAGGGATGTTTTTCTCTTCAAATTCATTTACAAGTTTTATAACCATACACCAAATATAGATACTATTGGTTGTCCTTTTTTTTACAGAAGTACATAGAATCAATTCATGTTCGTAAATTCGTAATCAAACGATGAATATCGTTAAAAGGTTTGAAATAATTATGCTAGCATACCTCCATTCCAAATGAATTCTCAGTTGTAATGTTCCAATCGATTGGATACTAGAAAACATTTACTTGCCAGACGATCTCTCATTCAAATAAACCTTCATTATACGTAACTGGTCACCTATTGCAACGGTCTTTTTTCATCAGAAATCCCACAAAAAGAGTAAATAAAAATTGACAATGTAGAACGCTGACAGGTCTAACTGTAAAAGGAACAAATGGAGCCAATTAGGCGATGTGTATCAGCGGCAAAGTTACTCAATTACTCATCCCCCTTTAGCTGCTATTTTTCCTGGCAGAGTCATACCCCAAAGATTTTGCAATACAACGCGTATCCATATATTACAGTAAAAACTCATAAAACCGACGAAACTTTCGTTTCGAGAAAAAAGAGTCGTATTGGTCGTGCACGGGGCTAGATAGTCGAGCCATTCCCAAAGATATATGTTTCGCATGAATGGCGAGGGGGGCAAGGACTAAATCTGCAAGCTTTTATTGGCTTGTCCAAACTCGGCATTACGTGTCGACGTACGTATACCATGCACGAAACGGGAAAGGGCAGCGCACACAAATGGACACATGTACACACGTGTCCCGAAAGAAAAGAAAGGAAAAGAGAGGGGGGAGAGGGTGGCAAGATTGTGGCATCTATTACATACGAACGGAAGATAGAGAGGGAGAAAGAGAGAGAGGCGGGGCACGATTACTTTTCGTTGGGTCGGCGATTCGATACCGCGATCGACGGGCAATTAACATCCACTGCTGACCTTGCACTCTAGATCAGTGCTGCTCTCCTTGTAGGTATACACTCTTGTATGGGCACCTATATGTCGATGTTCCGTCAATTTTCTTTCCTGCCGCTCTGTCTTTTGCTGCCTCGTTTTCGTCATCACTCCTACTCTACGTGAGCAATTACTCCCTCCGCTGGTTGTAGAAAAGATAAGGAACGCGAGGGTACATACAATAGTCGAGAAAAGGTGGGGGTTGAAAAGAGAATGGGTGGGGGGCACATAGCAACAGCAGGCGCAAGCGACGCAAGACGATTAGATGACTCGGACGCCATCGCTCTCTTGGTAATTTACTCGTTCATTCTCTCTCTCTCTCTCTCTCTCTCTCTCTCTCTCTCTTTCTATTTTACTTCGCTTCATCTAAGACCCCTTCCCTCACTACCACCATCACCTCAACTTCTTTCCCTTCCCTGCTGATATAAATTACATGCTTCAATATCAGCTGCCACGGAAAAAATGAGTTCCATCTCGGGGGCCCGAGTGGGAGCAAGTATTGCGTAAAACTGTCGCTCGTCTTACTTTTCTTACTCTCTGGCGATAAATAAGCTGAGTGGCTTTCTTCCAAAGTCCTCTTACCGTCTATTCGTATTGCGGGCTTGTTAAAACGCAAGGCTAGCTGATTATCTGCAATGTATTATTACGCTAGCTGTTTTATTTCAACGTAGAGTTTTCGTGTTTAATGTGAGACTTACCCTGGAAAATAACCGGGAAACTGACGTTAAAAAAATGTTAGGTTTTTTTTTTATAGCTTGTCGAATTTCCTGATGATATAATGGGAACTCGCTATTTTTGCAAAAAAAAATTCTACGTTAATCTGAACTGGAAATTGAAATATTTCGAGCAACTTGACGAGAAACTTTTACAATTACTGTTAAAAAATACGTTGGGTAGCCTTCAAAACTACCGAAAAGTCCTTGAAACGGAGGTCGGTAAGCTCGAAAAAGCTCAGTGAGAGCCAAGTGCTTCAGTTGCACGTCATACGAGAGGGAGAACTGAAGAGAATATTTTTAATGAAGCAGAAGAGCAGCTGTAGTCCGGACAAGAGAACAATTTTACAGCACGCACAAGCCTATACCTTCAAGTGCACACGATGAGCGTTTTTTCTCGGGAGATTTTCCGTCCTCCCTCTCTCTTTCATTTTTGTTCTTCCACCACAAATTTATCTCGCGTTCGTGTACTACAGTTTTTTTTCCCCAACCAAGTGACTTCCATTATATCTTTTACGTACCTAATAATATAATATTTTACATATCTACTTAAAAAGAATAAAGTTTTGATGACTTAAAAAAAAAATTACATTGTTTAGAAAATTGTATTTGAATTTGCAAGCTTATGAGAATTATATTAATTCAAGTGTTTACTATCGATGTGGTTACTGAAACTTAAGATAAACGTATAATTTACTAAGAAATAAATAAGTTTTTCAAGCAATAATACTGAAAAGTATGTGATGATATATTTTAATATCAACAATGAGATCTCCCAGTAGTATTTAATTTATTTATTTTTTATTAATTTTTTTTTATCATCATTTTTTTTTCATTACTTGACACATTTTTTTTAATTTCTTTTATTTTTTCACTTTCACTTTATACAGCTGTTTTCATTTTATATTTTTAAATCTATTCTATCTACAATCTCAATTTTTCTTGTGACTTGATTATCCACTCACTTTTTATTTAACATTTAATTATAGCTTAAACCTCAAAAAGGGAAAAGTGTCAGATTAGTCTTGAGCCATAAGCTTCTTTTTATTTTGTTTCTTATTTAAGTTGAGCCATGAAAGTAATTCGTTTATTATTGTTGAATTAGTTGAAACAGTGATAAATGATTAAAAGTATTATTTTAAAACTAAAATAATATTATTAAATCGATCTGTTGATATAAGTTATGTTGTCTCAATAATGTTTTTGAAAACATCATTTCGTAAAATAGAATTAAAAAATATTCCATTTCAAAATAAATTTTTTTAATTGATTTATTTGAAAATAACATAATATATGCAATGTTATATAGTATATACATACTGTTATTTTATACTATGAATTGTAATATTTATTTATCAAATCTGAATTTATTTACATTCGTAGCAGTTTTTCAAATTGTATAAACAAAAATGTGAAATAAAGTAATATGTTAAATCTAATACAAATCCAATGGTACAGTATGAAAAACTAGATGTTACAATCATTAAATTTTAGTTTCTTTCGTGAACTGTTTAATTTTTAAAAAATTTCTTATTCTCGCAAATAAAATAATAAACTTAGAAACACTTGATGTCATTGAATTCTCGTAGGATGTACTAAAAATTAGTCTTTTCAAACCTTAATTTCCGTAAGTTTATCAAAAAACTTTTTTTCGCAATGCGGATACTACCGAGCGACAACAGTTTTCACCGCTGCTTTTTCCCGGGAGGTATAAATCACACTGGCCTTGCCCCTCTCCTCCCTTCTACTCCCTTGGTACGAAGGGTTGCTATTGTAGTTGTTGCGACGTACTTCTGCAACATAAACTGACCTGCCCGCCGGACCATTTATCAATTACTTTAGGGCGATTTTTTGCCCACACGTGACTTGAGTTTACACGATGGTCGATTGTGTACACTGTTTGAGCTTTGGTTATTGCAAACGTTCAAGTCAGAGTAAATTGATTCAAGATTACGTTTTTCTACGAGTTAAAATACATGATATTGTTTTTCAATCCAATCCAGATTAAAATATGAGGGATTATATCATTTTTTTGGTATTCATGATGATGGTATTTATATGTTTTCATTACCATTGCTTCGAAAATTTTACATCATCAAACATTCACATATTTTTTCGTGGAATAGAATAATTTGTATGTAGGTAAGACAGCACTCTGTTTCCGGTATAGCCAATATACTTCCTCAGCAATTCTTGAGGTGTCACCACTTTCCAGACAGCATTGTTCTGTCCAATGTCTCACTACAATGTGATCTTGCAGTATTGTTTTTTAATGATTTAGAATAAACCCTATTTTATCTGAAACTTGCAAAAAATATTATTCACAATCTTCTTTTAAAACAATTTTACTTTGTGTTGAATAATGTAAGAGGTGGCTTTGCACGATTAGCTATCAATCCCAAATAGCACCTACACAATAAAACTGATTGGTTTTTCTAGTGTTAGGTGTACGAGCCTCATTTTAAAAAAAAGCAACGTAAGCAAAATAAATTTTATAATCCGTTTTAATCATGTATTTTATCATAATTGTATTACAGTTTATAAAGATTATTTTATTTATTCAACGATTTGATAACACAGAGTATACATTATAAGTATGTATATTGATTTTATTAAAAGTAAAAAGCAATTATATTCAGTGGCTTCGCGTAAACAACTGGAACTGTTTTTTTATACAATCATTCATAACCCTTTTTTTTCAATTTACGCATGAAAGGATTTGGAAATAAAAACAAACCTATAACAATGTGAATCAAATGAAAACCCATCAAGTCACAAAGCTATATTACTGATTCATAT